CAATCTCGACGTGGACACATATGGAACGAACACCCCGAATCTAGAACCCAGTTATCAGATAAATCATCAGACCTAGCAGAACTGACTAATGCTAAATCTTCCTCTGAATTATAGCTCTCATTCGGTTTCTCTTCAACTACAGCAGCCTGGGACTTGTTTTTCCTCACCGGACAATTATTCCTAAAGTGACCCGGTTCTTTACAGTAATAACATGTTTTAGTAGTAGTTTTACTAGATCCATCCTTGCCGTTTCCAGCACCCGACCCAGCATTGTTCCCCTTGTTAAACCCCTTATTCTTTTTAGACTTTCCGGACTTAACAAATAACCCACTACCATTATCCCCATTATCACTCGTAGCTTTCATTCTGAGTTCCCTAGTATGAAGTGCTGCCTTCACTTCTTCTAAGGTTATAGAATCCTTACCAACAACAAAAGACTCTACAAAATTCTCAAAGCTAGACGGTAGAGATACAAGTAAAATCAACGCAGCATCCTCATCATCAATTTTAACATCTAAATTACGTAAATCAAGCAAAATAGAGTTAAGTTTTTCTAGATGTTCCCGTAAGGAAGTACCTGACTGCATCCGGAGGCTAAACAACCGCTGTTTCAGTAATAATTTGTTGGTCAACGACTTAGTCATATACAATGACTCCAGCTTCAGCCACAATCCAGCCGCCGTTTCCTGATCAGCAACCTCCGTGATGATTTGATCATCAAGACTAAGTAATATGGTAGAGTGTGCCTTCTCTTCCATAACTTCTAACTGCGAGTCAGTCGGTCCGTCTCCTGACTCCGAAGTAGTACTCTTTGGAGCCAACGGACGCCATATCTGCTGTTGTTTTAACAGAGCCTTCATCTTAATTTGCCATAGCCCGAAACTATTTTTCCCGGTAAACTTCTCAATTCTTATTGTTGAATCTCCTGCCATTGTTATCTTCAAGAAACTCTCCAAGGATTGAACCTGAGCTCTTGATACCAATTGTTGTGCGACAGCGGAAGCAAAGGTCGAAAACAAACAAGAAAACAATAAAGAAATTCAATGCAAACAATAAGAACAACACCAAGAATTTACGTGGTTCACTATCGATGTGATAGCTACGTCCACGGGCACCGAGATCGAATGATTTCACTATAAACTGCAAAGATTACAAAGATGATTCTTGTATTTCTCAAGAACGGCTTTCACTCTGTCTCTCTTCACCCTAATACTGATATTAGGGAGGTTTTATATTAATCCCTAATTAAAAGATACTTGGGCAAAAAGATAATAAAATAAGATAACCTAAAACCGCAAAATCCGCGTTCCGTATTTTTCCTTCTCCGCCCGGTCAGACCGGGCAAGGTCTGCCCGATCGGGCGCGAGAAGAAGACTCCATACGAATGCTTCAACGTATCCAACCCCCACCGCCCGGTCAGACCGGGCAAGGTCTGCCCGATCGGGCGAAGGCTCGCCCGGTCGGGCGAAGGCTCGCCCGGTCGGGCGCGAGAGCAGCTTCTTCAACGAATTTGCCAGGCACCTCTTCTTCTTCCGCCCGGTCAGACCGGGCAATGTCCGCCCGATCGGGCGGACAAAGCTACGAAGTACGAGTCACCTAATATACTTATCAACACCCCCATTATATGCTCATGAGTGATTATACAGATTGAATCTGTCAAATGTGGCTCTTTAGTACCAATTTCTTTAGAATTTGCTTAGTTTCTGGTATGTATTTTGACAAGTTTTAAGAGTTTAGTACTTTTACTGGAAAGATTTCCATTGCCAGTGTTGTTTTGTCGATATGAAACTATGATCAAGAAGCAGTCTGCTCAGTTGGTTTTTGTTCTTGTTTTTATCAGTGTTTCTCATTTCTTGAATAGGCTTATTAAAGCCGATTGATGGAATGGCATGATGAATTCATGTAATTGTTACCCTTTTGTAAGCTGTTGTGTATGCTAAAATTGTGTGCATGATTGTTTGCTAAAACATGCGAAATACTAATACTAGTGTATGGATTCATTTTTTCTTGTTTTCTTTTCGTGGTTTGAATTTCTGTCTGTTTTTGTTGCTGGGTTACTTGCTTCTGCTGTTCCCCGGATGATTGAGGTTTCAGTTGTGCTAAGTATATCAGACTGTACTACATTTGGTTTTGAGGTTGTTGCATTTAAGAAATTCATTTATTGATTAAGTTATCTTGCTTTTTATTAAGACATTGCTCTGGCTGAACTTCTGCCTACCCACGCAATCAAACTGGGGCTTGCTCTTGATTTCTCTGTGTTCAGATCCTTGGATTCCGATTGCCTTTTGTGTTGTTGAATGCCATTTTCTTCTTCTAAATAGGTCTTATGGGCAATTTCTGATATTGGGGACAGAACTTGTGGCATACAGAGTTGTTCAAAGACTTCAACTTGAACTTGAAATGATAGGCATATTAATTTCCAGGATGGAAAATTGGAAACGAGTTCTCATCAAATAGCTATTATTCTTACTCTTTTTTTGGCGTGTAGAGAACCATAAGGGCGGGGTGAGGATCGATCCCAAGATCTCCTGAAACCGGGAAGGAAGCTCTTACTACTTGAGCTATCCCTCACTCTCTATTACTCTTACTCTTTAAGGTTACAAGACGTATTAACAATTTCTATTCCCTCCCCTTTTCCAATATTCCACGAACATTATTAGTCGACAAAAAAAATATATATATTAAGAAACTCTCTTGACACCTAATCCAAGTTTATGATATAATATAGATCGAAGATAATTTGAGTATTTATAGTTTTTTTTTTAAAAAAATGTACATAGTAATAATCAATATAATTTTATTCCTCCAAAAACAAATTGCTACCCCACACAATTTTGAGATGGATCGGTTTTGAGCAACATCCATCTAGACAAAGTAATAAAAAGAGGTGTATTTGCAAAAAGTCAAAACTAAATAAAGTCAAATCATATATTAGTGGTCTAGTGGACGTAAATGTCAAACAAATACATTACATGTAAATATAATACTCCGTAGTATTACAAAGTCAACTCCAGTGCTAATTGACCCTTTATTTATATAAGTGTAGGAGCTAATTGATGTAATGTAAAATAACTTTGAGCTTTTGGCAGAATTGATTGGCCTTATTGGAGAAGATGACCAAACCATCATAAATTAGTGGAGTCAGAGTAATTAATTTAATTTGGATACCATACTTTTACGCCCAATTAAAAACAGAATTAGCATAATCATCTCATTTCATCATTTAAACTTAACCATTGTGCAGTGTTGTGGGACCCTGTATTTTTGTCTTCTACTCACATAACTAATCTTTTTCCATTGAATTAAAAACAGTTTAACTACTCCTTAATGGATACCTATAGTTGCTACTGTAATACAGTACTAATAAGAAAGGTGTAGAGTGTGTGTTTTTTTTTTTAAATATTCCCTATTTCTTTTCATGTAGCTCACTAGGTCTAGATAGATAGTAAAAAAAAAAAAGTATTCTAGTATGATATATGTTCATAATCGTAATTTCTTTAGATAATTCAAAAAATGCTTCGATATTTACTACATATAAACTACTTAGTGTTGTTTAAATATTCACTTATTAGCCTTTAATAAAGACGGTTATAGCATTTATATTTATCTACATGATATTTCATACCTAGTATAAAAAATGTTGAAAAGATTTTAAACAAGTATTTACCATTTAGTGCTAAAATATATTTCGTATCTAAATAAATGTATACCTATATACTGTACTTTATTCTTTTTTAACTATCTTTAATTTCTAATTAAGCATTTTTTAATAATAAAAAATAGAACTTTTGTGGGAAAAAAAAAGGTGAGAATTGATTCTAAGGATGAGTTTTAATTTAATTCTTAGCTATTGTAATAAAAAGATTATATCTTCCACTTTACTCATCTTCCCTTCCACTCTTCAAGACAAAATACCATGACCAAAAAGGGAAATAATAAGTAAATTACATAGGAAATGCCACGTGGCACCATTGTCTTTAACATGTCATTCCCTTGTTAGACAAAGCTGGCCACTACTAATGCATTTAACCCCAACATTCTCCATGTTTTATACGAGTACACATTTTGACTTGACTTTTATTTTCTTCTTCTAAAGTTTACTACTGATCTTTTGTCCCAAGTGTTTTTTCATTTACCAATATCAAATCATAAAACCCAAGAAACTAAACTATTTGATCCAAAACTTTCATCTTTTGTCTCAATCAATCAATTTGAACGACAAGTCTTTCACTCAAAATATTTAATACTTATGTACTAAGCTAATATATGAGCTATTGAGTTGTTTCTTATTGAAAGATGTGTGAATGCATAGTATAATTAACATTTTCCTCGTTAATTAGATTTGGAATACATAATCGGATCGTGCACTTGGACTTGTTCTCATTTTTTGATTTGTTAATCTAAATTAATTGTAAACTTGTAATTATTTATACTTTTTCTTTTGTGATCACATGTAAATTTTATTTGAAAATAAAGCAATAAGTTTTGATTTGAATCATAATCACAGCTATACATATAACTAAAAGATGATCAAATCCATGAGGTAAAACATGAGATGATTGTATTGCAGTACAAGAGTAATAATGATATCGTTCAATTCCTAAAAAAATTATTGAAATGTTTTTTAAAAAAAAAAAATACGTCTCACATCTTGTTAGGTTATAAAAATTTTGCAATTTACATTTTTCACAACTTGTTAGGTTACTAACATACTTTCTTATTTTCTTTATATATGCCTATAGCTATAGGTTTTCTTAAATTTAAAGTGAAATGTCTAAATATTTCTCTCGTGAAATGACAACAAAGAATCATTAAAAGAAAGGAAAAGAATGTGCCATATATATGCTTAAGAAAAGAATGATCCAAAACATGTATATCTACTTAGACAAATAACAATGTTTAATACTACACAGTCATTTTCGTAGTTAAAACTACAGTTTCTTATATACCGTTAAAAGCTAATTTTGCCGAACATGTCCTTAACCGATAGTAGAGTTGTAGACGCATCAAAGCCACCTCCCCCACATCCGAATTGCTTTATCTTTTATTTTTGTTATAACCAACTTTAAATGTCAACGCCCACCAACATTATAAACCAATAAAATAATATCCTTATATTCAAATAACTCATTACCCACTATCTAAAAGTCAACTCTTCTCTCCCCCTTTTCTCGATTCCCCCCAAACTCCACATATCATAACTTAACATAACTCTTTTCCCTTCTCTCAATTTCCAACCTTCTTTCTCACACACTCCATCAAAATGAACACCACCAAAATTCTTCTTCTATAAATCCATTTTTCTCTCTTGATTATTATTATTATTGTGATTCATATATTGGACAATTTGAATCAATCAAAAAAATGGGCAACGCGGCCGGGAAGCTAACCCCGTGTCTATGCCCGGCAAGCGGCGGCGGAGATATCTCCCAACGGCACGACATCGCGGTTATCCTCAGCAACCCGCTTCACGACGAAGGTTTAGGTCATTCCTTTTGTTACATCCCACCACCACCCGATCACCACCACCAATTTTTCAGTGGAAGCCTTACAACCACCACCGCAGCAATATCATCATCACCGGCAGCAATATTTAAAAATCTTTCCGGCGCTTCGTTAAGCGCCAACACTTCAACACCTCTGTCAACTACTCTGCTTTTGGATGATTATCCATCAACTATGGATCGTGCTTCTTCTTTTGAGAGTTCATCTTCTTTTGCTTCGGTTCCTTTGCAGCCTATTCCTCGGAACCTAATCAATTCTGGTCCACTTCCTTTGAGTCGATACTCGGGTTCGGGTTCTGGATTGATCGAAAGAGGGTTCTTATCGGGTCCGATCGAAAGAGGGGTTCTCTCAGGACCAATTGATCAGCAAAAGTGTAATCCAAAATTGGAGAAGATTAAGTCTAAGTATGAATTTAACAAGTGGGGTTCAATCAAAGGGATTAAAGATTCAATCTTGAGCACAATTTGGGGAAATGGTAAAGGGAATCTTAAAACAGGGTATGATTCCATTAAAGAATTGGAAAGCTACAATAGTAATAATTTAGATAGTGTTGGGAAAAACAGTAGTGTTGCGAATTTGAGCTGTGAAATGAGCTTAGAAGAAGAAAACGAGGTTGATAATTTGAATGGAAATGGAGGAATTGGAATGGAGTCTGAGAATGTTCAATGGGCGCAGGGGAAAGCAGGGGAAGACAGAGTTCATATTGTTGTTTCTGAAAATTATGGTTGGGTTTTTGTAGGGATCTATGATGGTTTTAATGGTCCTGATGCTCCTGATTTCTTGCTTTCTAATCTTTATTCTTCTGTCAATAAAGAGCTTCAGGGTTTGCTCTATCATGATTGTAGATCGGAATCGGAATTGGAATCGGTTTCTGCCTCGAATCAATCTACTATATCTAAGGATTCCGAGGAGGAAGTCAACGATTGCTCTAGGAGAATGAGTGGGTTGGATTGTTGTTCGTCTATTGATCAAGATGAAGAGGTCAATAGTAATGTTGATGTAAGTATGAAGAAAAAGCTAAGGAATAAGAATAGTTTTGCTACTAATAATAGTAGTGGTAGGCAAATATTGGAGATAGATGAAAAGGTAAGGGAAAGGCTTAAGCAAATGTCCAGTAAAATCAAGCATTCGGATGTTCTTAAGGCGCTTTCGAACGCCTTAAGGAAGACGGAGGAAGCGTATCTGGATATTGCTGATAAGATGGTGAAGGAAAACCCTGAGCTGTCTTTGATGGGTTCTTGTGTTTTGGCTATGTTGATGATGGGAGAAGATATTTACTTGATGAATGTTGGTGATAGTAGAGCTGTTTTAGGCCAAAAACCGGCTTCTGAGACCGAGTTTTCAGAAGAGTTTCCTCACATCTCTTCCCTTCAATTGACAGTGGATCACAACACCTATGTAAAAGAGGTATTCCCAATACTTAGCATTGTTAATATTTTGTTATGCTATGTCCTCAAAGACATACGCAATTAGTAGTCACGTTGATAGTGTATTGACCTGTACGTTCTTGACTTGGATTGTTGCAGGAAGTTCAAAGAATTAGAAGAGGACACCTAGATGATCCATTCGCGGTAGTAAACAATCGTGTGAAAGGATCGTTGAAGGTCACTCGTGCATTTGGTGCAGGATTTCTCAAACAGGTACCAAACAAAATGCTTAGATACATTCATTTTGTTTATGAAAGCTCTTTTCCTGTTAAATATTTATTCAGCAGAACATATAATTCCTAGGATTAATTTGCTAGTTGATGCTTTTACAGCCAAACTGGAATGATGCCTTACTAGAAATGTTCAGAATTGACTACATTGGTAGCTCACCTTATCTAACATGTTCACCATCACTTCACCACCACAAAGTAAGTCCAAGGGACAGGTTCTTGATCCTGTCCTCTGATGGACTTTACCAATATTTCACCAACGAAGAAGCCGTGTCTGAAGTCGAGCTTTTCATGGCATCCACACCCGAGGGAGATCCCGCTCAACATCTCATAGAAGAAGTCTTGTTTCGAGCTGCTAAAAAAGCCGGTATGTTACACAATGCAATGTGTATTTTTGATGCTTAAAGAGGACTGAAGTCGAGTCGAGTTGAGTCAGTAACAACAACTACTAAAAGAATTGTAATATGTTTTTGCAGGAATGGATTTCTATGACTTGATAGAAATTCCACAAGGCGAAAGACGAAGGTACCATGATGATGTGTCCCTTATTGTCATATCATTAGAAGGAAAAATATGGCGTTCACCCATGTAAATAGGAACAACTTCTCCATAACTAAGCACATATATAGATCATACAAGTTAAGAGATTGCAATTAGATAGATTCTATCATACCAATTTTGTTACAAAACTCCACCCCCCTTCCCCCTCCAAAAGAAAAAAAGGGTTTTGGTTGTTTTAAACTATTACTATACTTTCTTTCTTTCTTTCAAAAAAAAAAAAAAAAAAAAAAAAAGACTATTACAATACTTCCTATGAATTGTCATATCTACCGTATAATTTATAACAGTGATGTGACAATCAATATCCCAATGAAGGTTGTAAAATACTATAGTTGAAACTTCATCAAAATAGCTCTGGCGAGCTTTTCTTTTGATTTAGATAGCATGCATCATGGTTAGAGTGTAGGAGTATATGTTGTAAAAAAAAAACAAAAATACTTTACTATGGAGTATTTGACATTCTTTTATTGTGTTTTCTTTGGGTTCATATCGTGAACAAAATAATGAAAGTATGGTATTGTGGTGCATCATTGACTGAGATTGGTGATTGTCAAAATGTATAATAAACTAAGAATTGATAGTAGAAGAAAATCTGATTGGTAAAATCTTTGTTCATAGTACAATAATCCAATAAAGTGGCAAATTGTTGTAAAAAGTAATCCAATTGGCTAGAAAATAGGCTAATTTAATAGAGTGAGTTAGTAAAGTCAAATCTAACAATAATTAAGACTACCAAATATTTCTGCAGCTTTGTGATTTGTTAAATCTCTACTAACTAATGTTCTGTCAATCTACTGGAAACTGCCAAACATTGCATGACACCATCTTAAAATAATAATTACAGTAAATTAAATTAAACCAGAGTCTTCTTTTGACCTCCAATATTTTATTAATTTTTTCCAGGACAAACAGTTGTTATTCAATTTTTTTTTGTTGAATATGGCCAGATTATTCTTAGCCAGCTTCACGTGAATTGGTTATATAAGCTTTGCAAATTAAAATCACACAGGATCAAACCAAGATTAAAACTTTTCTCAATTGAAAAAAAAAAAAGATATAGATTATGGAGTAGTATTTTTAGAAAGGATCTTGCTAACGAATGTTCTCGGGCGTTGAATAAGCATTTAAAATATTACTTAAAATGGTATTAATTTGGAAATGCATGATAAAATCACGCGTCAATCGGTGTAATTAATATTAATTTGTAATTTTATTCTAGCTAGCTTATCCAACGTCCTCGGGGCGTTCGTTAGCTTTTACCACAAAGACACATTATCCTTCTACTTCTTCCATTTTATGTCTTTTATTTATATACTACTCCGTACGTATTAATCATCGTGTTTTGTTACCCTTTTGTTCACATATATATAATCCTTTTAAATGCGTTTTATATACACTTTTGACATAGCATAACAACGTACACTATAGTAATAATATGCTATGTCAATGGAATATTAAAAAAAAATAGCTAATTTTTATGTAACCATACTTTGTCTTGAAGTTTAAGCTCCTACCATTTTGGTTAAGTTTTGGATAATTCTTTCTCAATCGGCCGGATTATATAGGACTTGTTAAAAATATACTACGTATATATTTACAATTTACTCGTAATAAATACTTGAAAAATAGTGTAATTGAGTAGTTAACACTTTTTAAATAACATAATAAAATATCAACGGGGAAGGCACTAATTTAATCACAGAAGTCAACGGCTTTGAAGGCATGAATAAGAATACTTGAATAAGGTAGTGTAGTGGCTAATTATGCGTAGCTCATTTAGGCCAAGTAGTTTAGGTGTTTCCAAAGAATCAAATGTGCATGGGTGGGGTAGGAGATATTTTTCTGATTTGGCAAATACATGTTGGTTAGAGGTTGTGTTATTTAATGAACATAGTATAGTCTACATCAGATTAAGGCCCTGTTTGATTCACCTTAATTTTGCTGAACTAAACTTATTTTTACTGAACTTAAATTATTTTTACTGAACTGAAATGATTTTTACTGATTTTCTATTATAATTCTTCTATAAGAAAACTGAATTTTACTAAACTGAACTGAAATGATTTTTAATGAACTGAAATTAATTTTACTGAAATTGAAATTATTTTTACTTAATATTATTTTATTTTTTATTTTTTTTTACAACAGCAGAAACAAAAACAACACAAAGGAAAAACTAAAAAACATCAAAAATTGCCGAGGTTGAAAAGCTGCTAGCATTGGCCCGGCATTGATTAGCGATTTGGTGGGGAAGATTAACTTCTGTTCTATCAACTTTAAGGACGATGCAATGTTGAAAGGTGCTACCAATCTTGATAATTTCTTTCATAGTCCAAAGGTGATGAATCTCCGAGGGCCTCTTTTTCCTCAAAGTGGTGACTAATAGAGCAGAATCAGTTAAAATTTTAATAGAAGTATAACCATTCTCACTAGCCCATCTTAAAGCAAAAAGGCAGGCCCAGAACTCAGCCTGTAAGGCTGAAGAGGCAATTCCATAAGAGCCTCCAGCTGCCTTTCACCTAGTTGATGAAGCTCTATTGTCCAACCAACCCCATAGTGCTTACTTTGTTTGTGCCAAGATCCATCAACTCTAATAGTGGTTAGAACTATGGAGTCGTTAAAAAGAAGGGCGTGATACAGACGTCCAAGCGAGGCTTGTAAAAAACCCGGGGGAGGAATAGTGGGAATATCTATAGTGGAAAAAAGTTCGTGACATCTAGTGTCTATCTTGGTAAAATCATGTAACAACTTAGAAGCCTCTGCAAGATTTCTAAAGAGACATCTCAGATAGCCATTATCATTCTTAAAGACTCGCTTGTTCCTTGTCAACCATATAGCCCATAAAGTAACCACAAAGGTTTGAATACGATGGCTACGCATTCCATCCTGACTATAGAAGAGCAGGATATGACTTCGGATCCATTCTCGAAGGGGAGTGGGCCCGTAGGTTTTGAGCAGTTCGGTATTTGGCAATTATCCCAAGCATACCGAGCTATAGAACACTCATAGGTGAAAACCATTCTCCTCTTTTTCACCACAATAGTCACATAAGGTATCGGTGACAATTTCCCTAGAACGAAGATTGGTTTTGACGGGGAGGCCATTGACAGCCAGTTTCCATAAAAAAAATACGCCATTTGGGTGGGATCTCCAGATGCCATACAATTCTGAAAAAATCAAGATCTTCTTTTCTGTAGGAGGGCTCAGACCGATCAGCTATGTTAGCAAGAAAGGCATAACCTGTTTTAACCGTATAAGCGCCTGCTTTATGCCAAGGCCAATACAGGAAGTCTTCTTCTTCCTCAGAAGGGAGGTCGATAGTTAAGATTTCCTATGCACTATCCCACTCAAACCGTTCTCGGATAAGCCCCACATTCCAGGAGCGAAGAGGGGTAATGAAATCCTTGACCTTCCAAGAAGCACTCTGTCTTAGGTTTTGGTTAGTGATTAGGGGATTTTTATCCACCAATCAGCATCCGACACGTGGGCCAGCCAGGTTTCGCCACGTGTCCTTCATGTAGGCCAATAGGACTCTGCCACGTGTCATCAAGAGATTCGTCCTCCTTGGACCAATTGCAATATGACACGTGTCCACCCATGCCAAATGGGAAAACCGACCAACAAGGCCCAATCATTGTGGGAGGCCCAGTCAGCCTTAGGTTTAACCTAAACCTAGTACTGGCACGCATCCCAAGGCATATAAATATGCCCATTAATCCTCATTAAGGGAGATGACGCACATTTAACACTCTCCCTAGAGAGACCCAATTACTTTTATTTCCGCATTAATTACTCCTTAATCAAGTACTAACTTGACCGTCGGAGGCGGATCTCCAATCGTCCGGAGCATCCGTTTGTTTTGCAGGTACAGGCGTCCGGTTCCAGTCTCAAAATTGTAACTCTCCCGCAGGACATCAGAAAACCCCGAAACATTTTGGCGCTGTCTGTGGGGAGAGTACTTCTGAGATGGCATCCACGTCTGTACCGACTCCTGAAGAGAGGCGTCCCCTGGACGACCCTCAAGTTCAGTCGGACCATGATACTGATGAAGAATTTAAAGTTGAAGCTCACACAGCTTCAGACGGGACCCTAAGGGCCCGACGCACCCGTCATACCGAAAGGAGAGAACGGGAAGATCTTCAAACTGGACTCAGTGATCCAGCCGGCGCACCGCCTGTTCAGCAGCAGCCGGCTGATGGGTCTGCTCCCATTACAAGAAACGAACTCATGACCTTCATGAGGGGCTTCAAGGGAGAGATTCAAGAGTTGCTCAACAAGAAGCCGCCTGCTCCGGCCAAGGAGCAGTCGGCTAAGAAACCTTCCTCTTCAGGGAAGAGGAAGCCTGTTCAAGGGCGAGAGGCGACCCCTCATCCTAACTCTAAGAAGTGGGAGCCGCTTGTCCTTAATTTCACAAAGTACCGCTTTCCTACTCCAGGAAAGAGGAAACTTGTTCGTCATATTCAGGCGGACGGGTCGAAGAAAACATACACAGATGCTCGGCTATTGCTAGAGCAGAAGAAGAATGACCGATTGTCAGAGTCGGCCTCTACTTCAGACTTCCAAGACAGTCTACGCAATACCTCGATGAGTTATACTCAGTCGCATCATGAGAGTCAGTCAGGCGGTACCTCCCGTCAGTCCGGCTTTCATAGTGACCAGGCGGTACCAAACTTACCATTTGTACCGCAACAACAATATTTTTTGCAGCCACCTCTGTTTGGAGGGCATGCAGCAAAGAATGTCCAACCTATGGACTGGCAGCTACGGTTGCTTAGACTTGGGGAACATTCGTCGCCCTTCTCCAAGGAAATTACTGGAGTCGCTCAGCCGGCCAAAGTGAAAAATGTATTAGTAGGCGCCTATGACGGCACTACTAACCCAGAAGACCATTTGATGGCATTCACCAACCTGATGTACCTTCAAGGGCTGGATGATCCCACTTGGTGCAAGTGTTTTCCAGCGACTCTCAAAGGAATCGCACAACAATGGTTCGACAACCTGCCGACTGGTTGTGTGAATAACTTCAGGACGCTTGCTTACTTATTCACCTCCAACTTTTCCATGAACATACCTGCGAAGAAGAGACCCTTGATTTAGGAACGATTCAGCAGGGCGAGAAGGAGGGGCTTCGTTCTTACATCAGGCGGTTTAACCTGATGAGAATACAGATTCAAGGGTTACCGGATGAGGTAGCCTATACTGACTTTTTCAGAGGCCTCAAAGACGGGTCAACATTCAAATTTGATTTGGTTCGAAAGAGGGTGGCGACTCTTCAAGAGGCCTTGATTGAAGCGGAAGCCTATATACAGGCGTCTGATCTTTGTAGTATGGGAAAACAGTCGGACGGGAAAAGGTTCGACAAAAGAGAAGGACGACAGAAACAGTCGTCGAACAAAGATGAGAAGAAGAGAAAAGAGGTCTGGGCGGCTGATTCCTCTAAACAGCCGGCCCAGAAGAAGAGGAAAGA